CAAGGTAATAGGACAAGTATTCACAGTAATATGGTGGGTGTTTTTTGAGGGAAAAGGTAAACTGAGAAGGGAAGAGAGGGAGGGATGAAATGGTGGAGCACAGGGGATTTTGAGGACGGTGGAATTCATCAGAATGCTCTTGTGATGGTGGGCACATGACATTTACACATTTGTCCAAACCCATAGAATGTAGAGAACAGAGTGAACCCTAAGCTATGGACTTCAGTTAATATCACATCAATGCTGTTTCATGAACTGTAACAAATGTACCACAATAGCAAGACATAAATAATAGGGGAAACTGTGGAAAAGGGGAGAAAAGATGGCATGTGGGAACTCTCTGTACTTATGGATCAATTTTTCTGGAAAACTAAAATGTCTCTAAAAACCATAAAGCCTATTAAATTACATAACAGTAAAAGGCGAATCAAGATAACTTAGATGAGATGGTGTCAGAATGTGTTTCTTGTCAGCAACAGGAAAAACAAATTTAACTAGCATAGGCAAAAAGGTAAATGTGTTGGTTTGTTTACTCAAGCCATGAGGAAGCATCAAGAAAAGCTGGAACTGGGGGATTAACTGTGAGCCCTAGATGGACTTCTTCATGAGGTCCAAACTGTGGTGGCCAGCAGCTCCTAGGCTCACAACCTCTTAGCCCTACCCAAGTGGGAAAAGGGCTCTTACTAGTTCTTATTAGAAAAATCACCCAAGGATGCGGGTGAACATTGCCTAATCCAACTGCTTATGGAAGAGACATACAGGATCCAATATGGCTGTTCACAGGTTAGAAATGAGTAGGTCATGGCAGGAGACTATTGCAGTTCTCCTGAAGAGAAATGATGGCGCTTAGGCTTGGGAGGTAGAGTCAGAGAAAGGGTCAGGTTTTAGATATATTCTGAAGACAGGGCTCTCAGAATTTATTGAGATGTTGGGTGTAAAATATGAGAAAAGAATGAGACATGACCTCAAAATTTTTGTCCAGAACAACTCTGAGAATGGAGATGTCTTTAACTGAACAGAGGAGGGTCACAGTGGTACAGATCAGAGGATGAGAAGCTTTTGTTTTGGGTGCAGTATAAGTTAGTCATTCAATTATAGAGATCAAGCAGTTGGATATAGCTATCCACTTAACATTTGCTTAATGACTGTAACTTTTATTTTTTTTTAAGTGCTTGCCATAGGGCATGTGTTGTAACAGTGGTGGTGGAGAAACAATGAGAAGGAAAGTGAAATCACTTCCCAGGGAGGATGGCCATGCAGCAATCCCTTCTCCTCCATTGGGATTTGGGGCATGCACACACATGCACCCAGTGTGATTTTCAAGCTATTGTGTCTAGGACTCAAACTTCAGTTGGCCATGTGGGAACCCAGCACTCCAGCC